TAATTCTATACAACCAGGTACAAAAGTATTTTGAGGTGAACCATTAATAAATGAAGTTTTTTCAAGTATAGAAGCTAAAGCAAATATAGTAGAAGGTGAAATTTCTGAATGACTTTGTTCAACAGCTTTAAGAATATTTTCAGCTGTATCATTTATACCAGGAATAATTTCAGAATAACGTTCAGTATTAGCAGTCCAAATAACTATAACTTTATCAAGTTGATTTTTAATTTTAAATTGACGAATATCATTACGTATATGTTCCAAATGAACTTTTTTATCATTACCAGGAATAAGATTATTAGCTCGATCATTTTGATTAGCAGCTATAAAATCAGGATAATAAATTGAAGGAAGTGGAATAAATTCTTGAAGAATTGGAGTAACTTGACGTTGAAGATCATAATCAAGAACTTGAGCACGTTCCATAGCTTGAGCAATATTAAAAGAGTTAATATCCCAACCACCAAGAATTAAATCATTGGGATTAACCATTGGTAAAATTTTGTTAAAAGGAATATAAACATCATTTCCTTTTGCATCAACACCAAGTTTTAATGTTGAAGCTTGAACAACGGAACCAAAATAATTGGGAAATTTAACGCCTTCCTTAGTACGCCAGGAGATGTTACTACGGTTAGCAACGATACTGGCGGTCAAGGTAGAACCATTGTTACCACCCCAGCCAACCATCATTAATCTATAAAATAAAAATGCACGATCATAATTAAAAAGTGAGCATAATGATGCAGTAACATACAATTCTGGAAAGTGATATATATATATATCATATAATTATACATCATTATGATTAACAATAAAAGTTACCGTTTTTGAACACTTACCCAACTTTTGGAACTTTTAAATCAGTTTTAAATTGATATTTGGTTTCAGTGGGCAAAACTTCAAAAGTGCCAACATTATTTTTAGATACGATGGCATTATGATACACATAATCAGCAATAATATGCGTATCAGTGTATTGAACATTAGGAGCGTTAACTTTAAACGAAGTACATGTATCTGGAAGTGTCACAGGGGTTTCGGAAAGGAGTTGAGAAAAGTGAGGAGACATCCTTTAAAAAAGGTAAAAAGGAGTTTTAAAAAAAAAGTTTTGGTTTGGTAAAGAACGTAAGTGTAGTGTAGCGAGAAAGTAGATTAAAAGCCGACGGAAAGGTAAAACTAATGCTAGGGCTTAGTTTTCGGTTTTGGAGAGACTCTATTCCGTCCCCTGTGAGGATTGTGTAACGAGCTTAGAAGATTTGCGAACGTGTTGGGCAAATTTTTAAGGCGAAAGTATTATCGCCTTCTGTTTTTAAATTATATTCTTTGTATATATTTGTATGTATTGTATAAAATTCGAAACGAAAATTATGTATAAGTGAAGATGGTTAACGTAACTAATGTAACCCCACAAAAAAAAAAAACTAATTTATAGAAATCTTAATTCTTTGGGGGCTATGTTAAATCTATAACCAGTTTAGAATTGAATTAGTTCGGTTTATATAATAAAAAATGTAAACGGTTTAACATTCATTCCTGTATCGACATTATTGATATTAGATATGATAATTGATTATCGAAAATTAGACTTTATCATGACATCTCTCTTCGAAAGCCACATGTGAATGTGAGTGATCCCATTATATAATGGTATTAATTTATTTTCACGTGTTAAATAATTATTTAAGGTATATTGTAAAAAAAAAAAAATTGCTTTTATTAAACTCGTTAAACCAACACAACATTATATTTTAAAATGAAATTTTTTTATATTAATTTAAAAAAAAAAAAATAATAATTAACTACTTTGATTGCATTGTTATTTTAAACATTTTTGACATGCCATTATGAACGCTGTATGATACAGAAAACCAAAAATAACCAAACACATGATTTTTTCTAAATAAAAAAAAAATGAAACTTCTAAAATCTAAAATTAAAATTTGACACTTTTTGTTAATAAAAAATATCTAGTTCCCCCAATGAATTTCATAGACTTTTTTTTTTTTTTTTTTTTTTTTTTT